CACTGTCCCCCCAAACCACAGAGCACCCTACAAAGCACACAGATCGGTGCTTTGGGCTTTGCAGGGAACTTGGGAGAAGCTTGAAAGAAGGGAAGCAACTCTGGAGATGGTTCAAATGGTGGTTCCTCCAGAGGAGATCTGTGCTGTCCTTGTCCCCAGCACTGCAGTGTGGGATGGGGACGGGTGTGCAATGGCAGCAGGTGGCACTGTCGGCTTAGCCATGGCCTGGTGGCTTCCCTGAAGTTGGGGACCCCTGGCTGCTGCTCAGCCCTGCTCAGCTCTTGGGGCTTTTGGTGTTTTCAGCTGCATTTCGGGTCTAGTGTGGATGTGACACTGTCATGCTTTGCCATCTCACACTCCATGCCAGGAGGAAAGTCTCAGCAGTGAGGACAGGTCCAGCCCTCCCAGAGTAACCTCCCAGTAGCCCACTGCTGCTCCCTGAAAGCCAGGGCAGAGCTGATGTCCTGGTTGTACCCCAGGGGAAACTGAGACCCAGAGGCTGAGACTTGCCCTGAACCTTGCAGGAAGCCTGTGGCAGAGCTGGAGAACGTCCCTGTCCACCTCCTCTGGACCAGCTGCTTCTCGACCGTGCTGGTTGAGGTGAGCATCCCTACCTTTGGCTTTCCTCCTCCCTGTGCCCAGCTGGGTTTGGGCTGCCAACCACAGAACGAGCCGTGATTAACAATTCCTCGCTGCTCCAAGCAGGAACAGCTCTGCAGTTTGCAGGCAGTAAGGGTGGCAAGAGGATCTTCTCCTTTTGGATGGAAGTGGGGTGGGAAGGCAGAGCTTACTGCTTCTCTCCCTGCCAGGGCATGGAGGAAGCCCTCCAGGAGCTGCTGCAGTCCAAGCCCTCTCCCCAGCCCGTGGTTTCTTGTCAAGCCCATCTCAGCAGCCAGCAAAGGTAGGTGTGCTCCTGGGGAGCAGGGACGATGCGAGGCCAGATCTGGGTCACAGCAGGGACTCCTGGTGAGAATCCTGGTGCCAACAGACCCTTTTCAGCAATGAAACTTCTTGGTCCCATCTGCTCCCCTCTCTGCTGAGAGCCTGAGCGTGGCCCTTTGCAGAGCAGAGCCCAGCCTGCACCCTGTTCTAAATAAAACAAAGATACAAAGAGTGAAAATAATCCTGGGGAGAGAGAGGAAGATATGGGGGCTCTCTCATTTTATTTGATGTGGCCCAATTGCAGTGCCTGTGGATCTGTCTCCTGCTCTTGGCTAGTCTATCAGTCATTGTCCCCGCCTGAGAGGGTCACGTCTGGGCAGATCTCAGGGGAGGAACTGTCTGCATGTCTGAATGCAGCACAACCCCAAGCCCTAGCAACCGTCCTCCTGCCGAGAAGGCTTCCCTGCCCGCTCAGCCCCCGGCTGCTTCCTCCACATGCTTAAGGAAAATTAGATAAATGAGCCATCAAGGCAGTCGGACCAGCTTTTAATGGGACAGTGCAGGCTGGAACTAGTCCCTTTGCATCCTGACCCTGAGGGAATTGCTTCTTCCTTACTCCTTTCCACCCACTTCTTGGTGACAACGCTGCTGGAGCCAAATTCCTCCTGGTCCTGTGCTGGTTAATGGTGCTGCTCTGGGCTCTGCTTTCCTCGGCTGTTTGCTAAAGGGGAATTTCCTCATCATTTTTTTGCAAAAGGGTTTTTACTGTGTCTGCAGCTTGGGGAGTTGGGAAGCTGGTGGAGGAGAGCTGTCCAGATTAGCCCCGTTAATGCCGGGAAAGGGCCGCCTTATCCCAGCCCTTAGCAAGAGGGAATTAAGACCATTACAAGGCTATCAAATAGGATCAGAGCCCCTCTCCCTTTCTCTGAGCAGCCCAGACCTGTTAATCCTTTTTCATGCGGCTGGACCAGCACCCACCGTGCTGGTGGGGAAGAGTTTGGCTGAGATGGACAAGAGACTGTGGACCTTGTCCCTCCCCTGCAGCCGCTGCTGGGCTGAGCGGTGCTTAATCACAGGGAGAACTTCTAGTGGCCTCCCAGTACCTGAAGGGGCTCCAGGAAGGCTGGGGAGGGACTTTGGCCAAGGGCAGGGAGTGACAGAACAAGGGGTGATGGCTTGAAAGTGGCAGAGGGGAGATGGAGCTGAGATGTGAGGAAGAAATTCTTTGGTGTGAGGGTGGTGAGACAGTGTCCCAGGTTGGCCAGAGAAGCTGTGGCTGCTCCTCCCTGGAAGTGTTGAAGGCCAGGTTGGATGAGGCTCTGAGCAACCCCGCTTGCCCCAAGGCATCTGCCCTCGCACCGTGGGACCCCCCTGCCCTGCTCGAGGGGCTCTGGGGCCACAAAGTGCAAACAAAGCAGCAGCTTCTGTCCTGGCAAAGAGACACGGGGTTACTGATTTATTTCTAAAACAGCCAACAGCCGAAGCTGCTGAGCCTGAGGATTTCACACGAAGCAGAGGGATGACCCCAAGGAGCTCCAACCCAGTTGGCCAGAGCAGTGACCCTACAAAAATACCCTCACCCTTGGGGCATGGAGGGAAACTCTGGGCAGAGCAAACCCCAAAGTCTGTGCTGGCAAACCCCGCTGTCACTCCAGCCCGGCTGCGAGGTCCCCACCACACAAGGGTGATCCCCACCGTGTCCTCTGCCCAGGGCTGGCAGGAGCTGCTCCCCTCCAGATCACACCAGCATAGCCTTGGGCAGCCGTGATGGGGCAGAGCAGGAGGCAGCAAACCCGGTTGGAGGGCTCCGGCTCCTCCATCACCATGTGGAGCTGGGAAGGGGAAGAGGAGCCAGAGGGACGTGGCCCGGAGCGGCGTTGGGGTGAGAGCAGGCACGGTGGTGATGGACAGCAGGAGCAGGCGATGCCCACACCAGCCTGGACACATAAAACCCATCATGCCCAGAGCTGGTGGCAGAAATGTCCCCATGTGCATGTCCAAGTGTGGCACAGGGATGTGCAAAGGGGGAAACCAGCCAAGGCAGGAGCAAAGGGACCAGCAGTCAGGCACTGACTGCGCCCCAAGGCAGGTCCCAGCTCCCCCCAGTCAGGAGGCTGCCAGGTACTGGTGGAAGTAGAGGCCAAAGAGGCTGGTGACAACCTGGCAGGCAGCCACCCACCAGGTGAGGAAGGCAAAAAGTCCACGGAAGAAGAGGGGGGTGAAGATGCCACCCAAGATGCTGCTGATCTGCTCCACCGTGGCACGCACGTCCTCCCCCTCCTCACTGCTGAGACGCGGTGCTGCTGCGGTCGCTGCCGGAGGGAGGGGAGTGGGCTCTGGGTACAGTCCCCACGAGTGGTGCCCTGTGTGACAGAGGGGACAGGTCCACGGGGGTCAGTCCCCATGCTGCAGCCCCATCCCCATGCTACAGATGTGCTGAGTCCCAGCACGCTCACTACATGTGTTCACACCTACTGCAAACCACATCTTGAGAGCCTGGGGACATGGTGGATGCCAATGGCTTCATGATGACTTGCAGGTCTCATCCTGCCCCTCCTCAGCCCCCATGTCCCCCGCATTCCCCCTGCCACCTCCTTACCCAGCGTCTTGAGGAGCAGCGTGGAGTGGAGGGTGAGGATGATGGGTCCCAGGTACTGCAGGCTGACCACGGAGACGTAGCAGTAAATCCTGGTGATCTGTGGGCAGTGGGGATGAGCAGGAGGCTGGTGGCCGTGCCCACGTCCCCGCTCCCACCCCAGCTCCCGCACTCAGACCTTGCGCTGGATCTCCAGGACCGTGATGCGCCCGGCTTCCTTCTTCATCTGCTCCACCCAGCGCTCGGCCAGGCCCAGGTAAGCCTGGAGGTGACGGCGGGTAACAGCCAAGCGCAACAGGCAGAGGCCAACGATGGTCCAGAGGCGCGTGGTGTTGTAGGCAGAGGCTGGTTGTAGGCAGAGTCTGACATGCTGGGGCAAGAAGGAGGGGGCTGTCAGGGAGGTCCTGGGGTCCAGAAACCCTCCCACACCCCAGGGAGGGTGTCTGATGGCTTCACACTGGAAGAGGGGAGGTTTAGATGAGATCTGAGGAAGAAATTCTTTGGTGTGAGGGTGGTGAGACACTGTCCCAGGTTGGCCAGAGAAGCTGTGGCTGCTCCTCCCTGGAAGTGCTGAAGGCCAGGCTGGATGAGGCTTTGAGCAACCTGGTCTAGTGGAAGGTGTCCCTGCTGCTGGCAGGGGGGTTGGAACTGGATGAGCTTTAAGGTCCCTTCCAACCCAAACCAGTCTGGGATTCTGTGATGGGAGAGGTGGTGGTGGAGGGAAGGATGGGGGCTACTGGTGTTGGGAGGAGGTGGACTGGTGCACCCATGCCTCAGTTTCCCCTTGGAGCAAGGAGGCTGGGGTAGAGTCAGACCCACTGCTGGTGCCCCACTTACATCTGCACCGTCTGCTTGCCCATGGGCGCGTGGAGCAGGAAGTCCCGTGAGATGGGCTTGATCCACATCACCACCATGAGGACGGGCGCCAGGAAACTCACGTGGAGCAGGACCCTGTGGGGAAGCCGTCAGAGACCCCCATG